CCCCCCCCCCCCCCCCCAGTGGGGGAACTCTGGGCGACTCACAACAAACATTAAAAACATAAATATATATAAATACATAAAACATCAGTTAAAAACATTACTAAAAATGCTTTCTCCCTGGATAAATTCTTACTTCAGTGTAAATTTGGTAGTTATGAGTCTATTTATTGGAATTTATTCCACGTATGTTTGAAGGTTAAAAACTATCATAGTAGTTTATTCACTAAAGCTGGCACGGTTGAATATAACACATTGTATCTTAGGGGCATTTAACATTTCCCAGGAATGCTAGCAATAGTTGTTCATATATTTTCTGGCTTATGACTGATATTTGTAATCTATATGTTATCTCCCAGATCACCACACCTTTGCTTTTATAGCTATCCCTTAGGTCTACTTTATATGATAAAATGTCCCATGTAGTTATCCTGTTAGATATTGCAATACCTCAACTAAACTTCATGACTTTATTCCTAGTATTGTCTTATCAGTGTACTATTTAAATCTCACTGAATTTCCTTGAGCTAGGGATCACAATGAATAGATATCAAAGTTTAGAGGGCTATTTAAATCTCACTGAATTTCCTTGAGCTAGGGATCACAATGAATAGATATCAAAGTTTAGAGGGCTCATTACAGAGTGTGCGTAATGCTATACAGAGATCAAAGGGATGTTGAAATTAAAACGAAATTAATTCCATCGAGATAAAAAAAAGATTCATGGCTGAGAAACATCTTTAAAATATAAATCAAACATATATTTAAGTTATTCTTACATTCACTTACATAAAATGTGGTTTATACTGTATGTTTAACAAGCTTCAAGAAGTTGTTATGATTTGGGACAAGACAGTTACTATGTTCTTATACTGCAGGACCAGATAACATGGGGCCCACAAGATCCTGAACTCTGGTTTCCATCAATCTGTACAGTAATAGTCATGGGAGTCACAGTTCAATAACATCTGGAATTTCATATGTTGTCTACCCTCAGTGCCCTGGGAAGGGATTGAAACCTCCATGTCCAGTGCTTAAACAGGTTAACAATATTATCAGTATGAAGAAGAAGAGTTAAACCTAAGTTATCATAGAAGGGAATATTGCTTTTAAAAGCAGGGATTTTCATTTAGTTTGGTAATACAAAAAGTAAAAAGAAAACAAAATGAGTGGGAGGTCCCTTCCAATTCAATGATTCCACATTCTAAGATTGACTAATTTGGTGATTCCTATCTTCTGATTTTATATATGATGCAAATTATAGATATCTGTATAGGATGTAAATAATAAGTACATCTCTAGGATCTACAAATTTAATGCTTAAAAAACCCCTTACCTCTACAAATTGAATTTTTATCACCGAACTCAGCACTTGACCTTTATAATGAGACTTGGGCTTTCCTATATTTCATTTGGGCAGTCATTAACCACCACCAATGTTAATTTTTTGTAGGAATATAATAGTGGCATATATATAATATAAGTAATATATGTAATTTTAGATAGATAGATAGATAGATAGATAGATAGATAGATAGATAGATAGATAGATATTGATATATATCAAAATAAGCAATTAAAAATATATTATTCTCACTCAGGGTGAATGCAAGGCATTTTATTACTTGAGGCCAAGGACGAATCTGATTGGTCTGGTGAGTGAATAGCATGTCAACACGGGTAAGGGGACTTCCTCCCATGGACAGTAGGGTAGAAAAATGGCATGCCGAGCAAGTGAATATAGAAGATTTAGAGAGAATCCAACTGCCCGCCGCCCCCCCCCCCCCCCCCCCC